TGTTTCCCCTTCCCAGGGCATTTGTGCTGGTCATGGACTATAATAAAGTGTTGCTGTTGTTGATGATATGGCCTTCCTCTGACTGCAAAAATGCCCAAGAGTGGACTTTCTGCATGCATGCCTTCACCAATGTGTCAAAGAAATCCACCCAGATATTGTCATTCAGGATTTGTACCACTGAGAAATTAGATGGGATAATAACAATAAGCAACACAACTTTTGCCCCTGCATTATAAATGTCAGTTCCTAATTGGTTCTGATATACAAAAAACATGGAAAAGTTTATTAAACTGCAAAAACTTTGTTTTTTGTAGGACATCCTGCAGCACCTTTTGCTAGAGTTTTTCAATGAATATCTCATCCAGCCTCAACCAATTCAACATTTATTTATTTACTCTATTCGTACCCTGCCTTTCTCGACCCCGAAGGGGACTCAAGGCGGTTTAATATATAGGCAACTATTCAATGCCTTAAAATAACATACAATTAAAATAAACATTTAAATTAAAATTAGAATTAATGCACATTAAAACATTTAAAAACATTACATTCACTATTAAAATTACCGCATCCACAATTGTAATCCGGGGCCATTCCAGTAGTCATTGCACATATTTCTTATCTATTGTTGCAATACAATTATTCTCCAAAGGCTTGATCCCAAAGCTCCATTTTCACTTCCCTTATGAAGGCCAGAAGGGAGGGAGCTGATCTAAAGTCACTGGGGAGGGAGTTCCACAGTTGAGGGGCCACCACTGAGAAGGCCCTGTCTCTCGTCTCCACCAGTTACACTTGTGAAGATTCCTGTGCTGGTCAATGACTGAAATAAATGATTTAATTTGATTTGATACACTTGTGAAGAAGGCAGGGCCTTCCGAGATGGTCTCAATCTCCAAGGTGGCTCATAAGGGGAAATGCATTCGGACAGATAAGCTGGGCTGGAACCATTTAGGGCTTTATAGGCTAAAGCCAGCACTTTGAATTGTGATCGGTAGCAAACTGGCAGCCAGTGGAACTGACACAACAGGGGGTTTGTACACCGCTCTGGTGAACAACTTGGCTGCTGCCTGTTGAACCATCTGAAGCTTCTGAACAGTAGAGTGTGTTGCAGTAGTCTCTTTGGGATGTAATCAGAGCGTGGTTACATCCCGAATAGACATAGTTTGTGGCAGCTGCAAAAAGGAAGTTTCTGGACAGCACAATTAAACAGGAAATAATACTTTCAAACCATGAACAGAAAAAAAAATCAAATTTTGTTTCATAGTGATCTATAAGTAATAACAAAACGTGCAGGGAACCTTCGACTCTACTGATACTGACAGATTCTACTCCCATCATTCCTTTCAGGAATTCCTTTTCTTAGGAAAGGGAAACTTGGGTATTTTACTCTCACTTCCTCTGAACTATAGTTGACAGTCCCTATAATTCATTGTCAGTTCCTCATCCAAGAACTAACCAGGTCTGACCTGTTTAACTTCCAAGATCAGACAGGATCTGCTGCCTTGAGGTTATTTAGGCCCAGAACTAAACATCTGGATGACATGAGAAAAGAAAAGAAACATAACCACATTCATTAGAACTAAATCAATCAAAAGTGACAATGGTGATCAAAAGCCATGTACTGAAAAAAAACCAGTAAAAACCACACCGCTGTATAAAATCCCACATTATTTGCTTTGAACTGGATTATATGGCAGTGTGGACTCAGATAACCCAGTTTAAAGCAGATATGGTGGATTTTCTGCCTTGATGTTCTGGGTTAGAAGGCTGCATGGAAGGGCTCTTAGTTGCAGTTAGATTCCACAAAATGCCTCAGAGGAAAAAGTGATCTCAAACATATACAAAGTTTTATTACTATCGGCAACAGAAAAGGATAAAAGAAAGGACTGCATGCTTAAATGGGTGGCAAATGTGGGCCACAACATAAAAATTGCGGACTAGGAAAAATCTGGAACACAAAAATTAGATATACGAACTCTTATGATCTGTTGGTACATCACTCCCAGCAAACTAGCAAATGCTATAAAAATGTTTCAGACAAGTGCTGGAAATGTGATTCACAGACAGGGACGTTTCTCCCCACTTGGTGGACCTGCAGGATGGCAAGTAAATTTTGGAAAGGTGTTCACGAATCAATACAGAAGCTCCTGAGACTGAAAATAGAACTGAAACCTGAGTACTACCTGCTGGGTATTACAGATTTTGGAATGGAGAAAAATAAGGAAATACTATTTTTCCATCTAACAACGGCGGTGAGAATGACATATGCCAAGAATTGGAAAAAGAAAGAAATGCCATCTCGTGAGGACTGGATACTTATGATATCATGAATATGGACAGTTTGTCCCAACAGATCCGATTCCAGCAACAGGAAATCCAAGAGAAAGTAAACTGGACTGTAGTCAAGAATCTTTTTACAGGAAAATCTAAAGTCAAGAAAGGAGATTCCATCTAAACATTAGGAAGAACTTTCTGACTGTGAGAGCCATTCAGTAGTGGAACTCTCTGCCCCGGAGTGTGGTGGAGGCTCCTTCTTTGGAAGCTTTTAAACAGAGGCTGGATGGCCATCTGTCAGGGGTGCTTTGAATGCAATATTCCTGCTTCTTGGCAGGGGGTTGGACTGGATGGCCCATGAGATCTCTTCCAACTATGATTGTATGATAGGAAGACATAAAGTATTGGAGCGGAGGAGGGAACCCAAAAGAGGAATTTAATTATTTGTAGAAATATAACTATTAAGATGGAGGAGATGGAGGTCAAAACAAACCTCTTTGTGTTCTTCTGGAGTTTTGCCTCTTTTTTCTTTTCTTTTTTTCTCGCAACTCAGCATAAATGTATAACTTTTTTTTCTTCTCCCCATGTTTGTACAATTTTACCCCTTTTCTTTAATACTAATGAAAAAAAAGAAATACCAGAAGAGGACGATTGGATGAGGAAAATTGCAGACATTAGAAATATAGATAGAATAGCGAAGAATAAAGGAACCCCAATGGAAGAGACGGATTGGACAAAAGTGACAGAATATTTGAAACATAAGAATAGAAACATCGTGATATAGAAAGAAGAGAGGAAAATATGAAAGGCATGAAGACAAAAGAAAGAAAAGGAAGAATCCACATGGAGGATACCTAGGAAGTCCAAAACCTTGTATATATAAGTCTATAGATCTACATAAATAAAAATGTAATGTTCGTTTGTGGGATTAACATAACTCAAAAACCACTGGACGAATTGCCGCCAAATTTGGCCACAAGACACCTACTGACCCAAGGAGTGACCATCACTAAAAAAATTATTTTGTCATTTGGGAGTTGTAGTTGCTGGGATTTATAGTTTACTTACAATCAAAAAGCATTCTGAACTCCACCAATGATGGAACTGAACCAAACATGGCACACAGGACTCCCATGACCAACAGAGAACACTAGAAGGGTTTGGTGGGCATTGATCTTGAGTTTGGGAGTTGTAGTTCACCTACATCCAGAGAGCACTGTGGACGTAAACAATGATGGATCTGAACCAAACTTGGCACTGATACTCAAAATGCCCAAATATGAACACAGATGGATTTTGGAGAAAACAGACCTTGACATTTGGGAGTTGTAATTACTGGGATTTATAGTTCACCTACAATCAAAGAGCATTCTGAAGCCCACAAATGACAGAATTGGGGCAAACTTCCCACACAGAACCCCCATGAGCAACAGAAAATACTTAAGGCCATCCAGTCCAACTCTCTTCACCAGGGCAAGAAAACGTAATCAAAGCCCTCCTGACAAAGGGCCATCCAGCCATAGATATAGGTAGATATATATGATTCACACACACACATATATAGTATCATAGATTTGAAAGGGACTCCTAAAGAAGGACAAATATATGCTGCATGTTCCAGAGTAGGCAAACCAAACCATCTCTACATCAACACTGACAAAGAAACAGCAAGAAATATTGTTGAAACAGCAAAAAATAAAAAGATTCCCCCCAGGCACTTCCAAGCCATCAAATGCTAATCAAGGTGGTCAGTTGAAACATTCACACCTAACTCCAGCAGACAAGAGTTCTTTCTCCCACCCTGGTCATTCCACAGATATATAAACCCATTTTCCTACTTCCAACAGACCTCACTACCTCTGAGGATGCTTGCCATAGATGCAGGCGAAACATCAGGAGAAAATGCCTCTAGAACATGGCCATATAGCCCAGAAAAACCTACAACAACCCAGCAAGAAATATTGTTTACCCACAAGTGTAAAGACATTACATATATTAGAAACCAAGACTTTCTCATGACTTTATTTTCCAGATCACCCGACTGGGACACAGCAACGCATGGCAGGGGACAGCTAGTTGTATATAGATATACCCTTTTTATTCTTTCTTTTCTTTTCGCTCTTTCTACTTTCTCTTCTTGTTTTTCTCTATTTTTTTCCATCTCGCCTCTTATTCTTACTCTTTTAATGTCTACATAGATAGTGCTATGTTTTTAAAACAAAACTCTCAATAAATATTATTTAAAAAAGAAATGTCTCATCCACCAAACAGCCAAACTTTGGATCAATGATCCCAAACTGAAAGGCAGGCTTGGCTTGTCCCACTCATTTCAATAGTTAAGATTGGAGCATGGTCACGCCTGTCTCCATCTTCACGTCGTTTTGGAACTTGACGAACTCGCTTTTCCCCGAAGGAAGAAGAGAAAGAAAGTCGGTGCCGTGAGCCTTTGGGGTTAAGAGAGCGCACCTCTTGGCTCCGGATCAAAACCAAGGCGTTTCCCGACCGTCTGTCTGCACAGATCGACTCTAACGCAGTTTGACACCCCTTGAACTGCATGGGCTCAAGGCTACAGCATCGTGGGAGCTGTAGTTTGAGAAGGTCTGGAGTTTCAAAGGGCGGGGGCCTCCCCAAATCCCAGGATCCCATTGCACTGAGCCAGGGCAGCTCAAGGAGGGTCGAAGTGGAGTCATTCCACAGTGGAGAAGGTATTGAAAAACCCCGTTTACCTGCGCCTTGGGCGAGGCTCAACCCGGCTGCAACGAGGAGGAAGAGGAAGCTCATCCTCCGCTCCGGAGCCATGGCTGCTCCCCTTCCAAACTCTTCCTGTTGTGTGTGTGCCTCTCTCTCTTTCTCTCTGGGACGAGAGAAAGAGAGAGACCCCGCCCCTCTCGCGCCCAACCCAGCTCCAGGTAAGACCCCGCCTCTTCCTTAACGCTACAGGGAGGGGGTAGACTGAGTTGGATTCTATTGGCCGAGGAGGGGAAGGCCACGCCCCCTCCTGGCTCCTTAATCAAGGATCCTCCGGAATGAGGCGGGGCTTCTTTCTCTATCCAGCGCCCAGGTGAGCGCGAGACTGGAGGGGGGAGGGGCTCTGGAGAGAGGCGTTCCGCGCGGAATTTCCCGAGGGTCACGTGATTCGTTCAAGTCTCTTGGAAAAACTGAATGACAAACCTTGCTTTTGGGCAGCCCCCAAGCACGAATCAAGGAACATGAAAGGCACTGGAGACTAACTCAACCTGAGAAGTCAGCCATAGCAGAGCACACCTGATGAACATCAAGCAAAAAGTGGGCCCTAGAAACAATATCATACAAAAGCTGACTGGCACAACCTGGGGATCACAACCATACACAGTGAAGACATCTGCCCCTGCGCTATTCTACTCTGCTGCTGAGTATGCATGCTCGGTGTGAAACACACCATGCTATTGATTTTATTGATTTTATTGGTATAATGCATGAACTGTTGTTGAATTGATGTAATTCTGTGTTCTGATTGTTCTGTACTGCAGGCATCAAATTGTGCCTTTGCTCCTGTAAGCCGCCCTGAGTCCCCTTCGGGGTGAGAAGGGCGGGGTAAAAGAACCCCTAATAAATAAATAATAATAAAACAGTAGATGTGGCTCTTAATGAGACATGCCGCATTATCACGGGGTGTCTGCGCTCTACACCACTGGAGAAATTACACTGTCTAGCTGGTATTGCACCACCTGACATCCGCCCTAAATGGTTTGGGACCTGCCTACCTTCGTGATTGTATCTCTCTCCATGAACGAGCCCGAACTCTTCGATCTTCAGGGGAGGCCCTCCTTTCGCCCTTGCCAGTTTCTCAAGCTTGTCTTGTGGGTACAAGGGAGAAAGCCTTCTCCCCTGTGGCCCCCCGACTCTGGAACTCATTGCATTACCTTGCTGGCATGAGAAATAAGGGCCACTGTATGAAAGTTGGAGCAGTCTTTAGCATTTCCCTTTTTCGGTACGGGGATATAAGTTGATTTTTTCCAGTCTGATGGCCATTCTTGTATTTTCCATATTTGCTGGCATATGGCATGCATCACCTTGACAGCATCATCTTTCAAAATTTTAAACAGCTCAGCTGGGATCCCGTTGTCTCCTGCTTTGTTGTTGAACATGGTGGACACAGCATATTATTTGAGAACACAGAAATGCTGGACCACTCTCACAGCCACCATGTCAGACTACACAGAGAAGCCATTGAAATCCACAAACATGTGGACAATTTCAACAGAAAGGAGGAGACCATGAAAATGAACAAAATCTGGCTACCAGTATTATAAAAAATCTAAAATCAGGACAGTAAATAAAGAACAACACTAAAAAAAACAGGGGAATTCCAGACAGGAAATAATCAGGACCAGCTAATCTTTCCCAACAAAGGACCCCCAGGCAGCAATCAGCCAGGCTTTGAAGCTGTAAGGCTATTCAGTGCTAATCTGAAATCCTGGCTTTGGAATCAGGCATTCGTAGATTGATGGATTGAACCAGTAAAGACTAAGAGTTATTGGGCCTCAGTGTTTGGATGGAGTTGGATGATGTCTTTTATATGTATTTTATAACTTATTTATTGTTGTATTAAAATGTTATTTATTGTGTAGCATTGAATTTTTGCTGTTGTTAGCCATTCTGAGCCCCTCCACAGAGGTAGAGAAAAACAGGATATTAAAGTTCTAAATAAATAAATAAATAAATAATCAAGGTGGCCAGTTGCTACATTCACACTTGCGTCCAACAGACAAGAGTTCTTTCTCCCACCCTGGACATTCCACAGATATATAAACCTCGTTTGCCTAGTTTCCAACAGACCTCACAATCTCTAAGGATGCCTGGGCGAAACATCAGGAGAGAATGACCATACAGCCTGGAAAACTCACAGCAACCAATTGATTCCAGCCATGAAAGCTTTTGGCAACTCCTTGCTTTTCTTTTCTTTTTTAAAATGAGTTTTTGTCTAGGGAACTCATTGCACATGTGAGTGTGGAGAAGAGCAAAGCACAGACCACGTATTACAATGCATTCTGAGCGTTGCACATGCACAATGGAAGAACTTCTTATAGCAACACCAGAGGCACACCAAGTGGCCAGTTATTGGCCAAAGGACATTTAGTATAATGCCAAGATTTTAAAAACTTTGTGTTTTTAAATAAATCACAACTGTAACCTCGGTTCGCTTCTGACACGATAAATAAATAAATAAATCGTACTATCCACTTTAAATCCACTTGCTGCCTCCTGCAGAATTCTGGGATTTGTAGTTTAGGGAGGGAACTTTAAGCTGCTCAGCCAGAGAGATCCTGAACTATATTATATAGCAGTGTAAACTCATAATCCAATTCAAAGTGGATAGTCTGGATCCAGAAACTGGATTATATGGCAGTGTAGATCCAACCTTAGACTACAAGTCCCAGCAGCCCTACTCAGCTTAGATATGGGGGAGAAAAAGAGCCCAGGATGCTTCCTTAAACTATACGGAGGATATAAATGTAAACATTGCATTGCAGCTAATCAGCCGAAGTTTATTTTGACACTGGGAAGACATGATGTAACTGTTAACCAGTCATCTGTTATTTGAACAGGTCAGTGAGTTCATGATTAATCGACATGTAGCAATTGGGGGATTTTGGGTCTGGGAAAGGATATCAGTGGTCATCTAGTTTAAAAATAATCTCTTTCAGTGTCAGAATCTGAAACACACTGTCTTCCGCTGAGACGACTGGAATTCAAAGATCTCCTGGAAAGACCATTCTCTCTGTCTCGCCACCTTTCAAAGCACATTTGGTAGGAACTTTTCAGTGGTTTCTTCTAGATTTTCCAACTCCCTCCCTAGTGAAAACTTTTCTGTTCCAACAAGTTTTGAGGAAGTAGCTGCAAGAACTGTTTTTTTTTAAAAAAACAAACAAACCAACAATTTATTGTTTTGCTGATTTTCTTTCCGTGTCAGAAGCAACTTGAGAAACTGCCAGTCGCTAATGATGTGAGAGAATTGGCCTTCTGCAAGGACATTGCCCGGGGATACCTGGATGTTTTACCTTCCTGTGGAATTGGCCGTCTGCAAAGATGTTGCCTGGAGGACGCCCAATTTTTTTACCATCCTGTGGGAGGCTTCTCTCATGTCCCCACATGAAAGGATTGAACTGACAGACAGGAGCTCATCCCGCTCCCCGGATTCAAACTGCCGACCATTCGGTCAGCAGTCCTGCCAGCACAAGGGTTTAACCCATTGCACCAATGGGCTCTATTTTGCTGATAACAATATGTTACAAAATTTGAAAAAAAAATCTGTTCCTGGTTTGAAAGTGTTATTTCTTGTTTAATTGTGCGGTACTTACTTTGAAAGTAGTTATTATACTCCAGAAACTTCGTTTGTGTGGCTGCCGCAAACTATGTTGAATGGGTTGAGACACTGTGGGGTATTAATTGAAAAACTATAGCAAAATGTGCTGCATGATATCCTGTAAAAACAAAGGTTTTGCAGTGTAATAAACTTTTTCAGCATTTTAATGATAGAACCAATTAAGAAATGGTTTCTTTCTTTTTTTTTCTTTTCCATTTTTCTCTCTATATATAGGTTTTCCTACTTTTCTATTAATTCATTGTTCTCCTACTTTACTTGTATAAGAAAAAAATTACTTTTCTTCCCTTTGTGCTCCCCGCCCTTGGCCCCTTCCCCTTTATTCTTAATAAAAATAGTTTAAAAAAATGATAGAACCAATTAAGAAATGACAATTTTAACCCAAGAACAAAAATCATGTTACACAGTATAATTCTTTGAGTCGGTTCATTGCATATTGACAACAATCATAAGATTTTTTAGATATGTCATTATATTTTTGCAGGTGTATTTAACTCTATTAGTTTTAATTTTTGTAAACCACCTTAAATATTCATTTGGGGGAAAGGTTTTGGGGGGGGGGGCAATAAATACCAATAATAACAAATCCACCATGGTCAATGGATCACTGATACCTTTCCTATCTACGAAGGCTCACAATCAGATCAGATCGTGGATTTTTACAAGCAAGAACGTCCAAAGTTCACTTCCTTCTCGAGTTTCTACAGTATTATAATAGACACAACTTAAATATGTGCTGCAGCAGGTGAGGGGGAAAAAATACAGGCGTTATCCAGTCTGACCTAATTTAAAATTTCAATTAAAGGCTCAGCATTGAGAGGTAGAATAGGGATTGATTTTGCATTTTATTATTTTGTATTGTGTTATTGTATTCTTACGTTTTTATTATTTAATAGTGATGTTTGTTTTGTTGTTCTGATTTTATTTTCTTGTAATGTGTTGTTAGGCTTGGCCTCATGGAAGCTGCCCCGAGTCCCCTTTGGGGAGATGGTGGCGGGGTATAAATAAAGTTTTGTTGTTGTTCATTTGTTCAGTCGTTCCGACTCTTCGTGACTTCATAGACCAATCCACGCCAGAGCTACCTGTTGGTCGTCATCACCCCCAGCTCCTTCAAGGTCAATCCAGTCACTTCAAGGATACCATCCATCCATCTTGCCCTTGGTCGGCCCCTCTTCCTTTTTCCTTCCACTTTCCCCAGCATAATTGTCTTCTCTAAGCTTTCCTTTCTTCTCATGATGTGGCCAAAGTACTTCATCTTGGCCTCTACTATCCTTCCCTCCATTGAGAAGTCAGACTTTATTTCTTGAAGTATGGACTGGTTGGATCTTCTGGCGGTCCAAGGCACTCTCCGAACTTTCCTCCAACACCACAGTTCAAAAGCATCTATCTTCCTTCACTCAGCCTTCCCTATGGTCCAGCTTTCACATCTGTAGGTTACTACGGGGAATACCATTGCTTTGACTATGCTAATCTTCGTTGCCAGTGTGATGTCTCTATGCTTCACTATTTTATTGAGATTGGTCATGGCT